TGGCCACTGACATGTAGGCAGAAGGGACTGGGTGAGGTTTCAGAGTCAACATCAAAACAGAAGCGAAGTCCATACTTTTCCCCTTTGTCCTTGTCTTCTTCCTGGAACACAGACTCAATACTGGAAGCAAAACAAGACTATGAGAGCAGGTCTTGTGGTGAGAAAGGTGTTGTGTGCAGAAAACTGAAAGGGGGCAATTGAGACTAGAGGTCAGAGATCAATGGAAACAGGTGCCAGAAGGGGAGACCATAATAGAGTTTTTAGTTTTTGCCCAAAAAGCATTGGGAAGACTTGGGAAGGTGTAAGCTGGGAGGTCACAGGATTAGATTTTCACTATAAAAAGTTCAAGCTGAATGCAGTGTTCAGGATGGACTGAAAAAGGCAAGTTTCCACTCAGTGACATGTGTTAGAAGCGTGCTGAATAATCCAAGTGAGAGATTATGGGAACACAGATGTGGCAGCATTTTGAGATAGAGAGAGTTAATGAATTATAGACATATTTGGAGCATAAGGCTGACAGTACTCGGTAACTGATTAGATACAGAATATAGAAGACAGAGTGGTGTCAAGGGCTTGCAGAACAGACGATTACTATTCACTAAGATTAGCAAAACAAAAGAACAACCCTTTCCTGTGTGCTTACAACCAGATGCTGAGTACTGTTGAAGAAAATCACACCACAGGGCAGATTTATAATAAATTCATGACGACCCCTAAGCAGGGTTCTGTGTACCATTTGGTAATCCTCCAGGTTTTTAATCATCTTTTCCCCTATTCTCTGTACTTCTATTTTAAACCTTTTCCACTTTTTACACATTTCTGACTCTCTTACTTGCCTACTGCTCTCTCAGAGGATCATCTCACTTTCTACTTCACAAAGAAAACAGAAGCCATGTGAAGGGAAATCCCTTAACTTCCTACTTCCGAGCACATGCTGCTCCCCAGATCTGCACCATTTTCGTTTTCTTCTCACCTATTAAAATAGTCTATATTCCAAGGCTAATCCCACCTGCCTTCGCTGGACCTACAGCCCTGATTCTTCCTTCACTCTGGGTATCAGCAACCTTCACTCATAAACTAGAACCTTCTTATCAGCAATCAGACATGCTCAAGCAAATCTCCATCTTCCAACAACCAAACAACCAAACAGCAGAACACTCCCCCTATTTCCAACCATCTTCCTCTCCTAGTGGCCACTCATCTCTCTCTCCCCACACCCCGATCAAATTTCTTGAGTTATCTAAACTTTCTGGTTCCATTTTCTCAACTATGATTCTGAGTCCTGACATGTGTCTTGGTTTAAACCCAGCTATATGATCTTGGTGATGCACTACTTTATGCCTCATTTTTATCTTTTGTAAAAATTGGGAATGAGATGAGATGACTACACATCTCATCAGGTTATTGTAATACAATAGCCCACATTAAGCACTTGGCATAGCATCTGTGCTTAGTGTTAGCTGTGGCTGTTGTACAACTTTATCTTCTGCCCCACTATTATAAGCAAGTGCCTTTCACTAAGGTCCCCAAGTCACTGTGTCAAATGAACAGTGTCCAGTCCTTATCTTCCTTCCTTCTTCAGCATCCTTGGAGATTGTCTCTTCTAAATCTCCTCATTATCTCCTTGCCCTTGGCAGGTACATCCTTAGCCTCCTCTGAAGGCACATCTTGCCCTACCTGGCCTTTTAAATACTGAAATTCCTCAAAGTGTTCTCTCTCACAGATCCATTTCACTCTTCCCTCTAGAGTCTCTCACACATATCTATGGCTTCAAATATCATCTACAGTGATGACTTCCAATTCTCTATTTCTAGCCTTTTTTCCCAGCATAGATCCAGATGCCTACTCTACATTTTTATTTGGATATCTGAAAGGCACAAACTCATTATCTTGTACTCTTTTATTTACTTCTCCTTTGAAACATATCGTATGGGTATCTCTAATGCTTATTTATTCATTCATTCACCAAATACCTCTTGAGCACCTACTATGTTCCAGACACTTTTCTTCGTGCTATGTTATAAAATATTTCAGGCAGCTTATAACTAGTAGGCAAATATAAAATGAGGTAAGTGGGATTAAATAAACTGAACCTGGAAACAAAATAAATTGAGGTGATGTTACAGCTTTATACCAATGGCTTATAAACCTACTATCGATGAGTCTTCAATATGCTGTCAATTCTTAAGCAGTCAAAGGGGTAAGCGATACCTTGCCAATTTCCCCACATGATGCCCATGAGAGAAAGAGAAAATAAAAGTAATTACTCAGAACAATTAGGAGAAACCAAAAATTATCTAGATATCCGGATGAGACAAGATTTTTCCCATGATGCCTGCATTGGGAAGTCTCTGTGTGAGGTCATCCAAATTACCAGAGATTACTTTCCCAATCTGGCAAGTGGTTGAACTGAGTGGCCTTCGGAGGTTAAGTAACTTGTTTGATACTAGTCACAAAGGTAGCAAATGGCAGGGGCAGGACTGAAAGTCATGCATATCTGGCTCCAAAACTCATGTTATTTCTATCACGCTGAAGTGCATTTAAGAAATAAATACCACCCCCCAACCCCATCCCCAGCTCTGAGTCAACAATAGTTCTCTACATACAATGTCCATAACAGACCAACATATGACCTTGCAAAAGCTCTGGATTTTAAAGATCCCCTGGCAGTTTCTGTACTTTCAGTTTAAAGACAAATGAATGGGGGAGGGAAGCAGAACATGAAGTATTAATAAACACCGTAAAATCATTACCTGGTCCCTTAAGTAGCCTCTGAAGTAAGGGTAGTGGGGGGAAATTACAGTAGGGTTTTTTTCCCCTTCTAATAGATTGTACATTTCAACAGCTAAAAGGGTATGAAAATTTAACGGAATTTTTAATGTCTTTCTAGGTTTTACGATACCACAAAGAGATCATCTTCGTTCTCCTCACCACAAGAACAGATGGGTGGCAGAGGTGGTGGCTCCATGACTCACTACCTCCTCACGCCCGCAAAGGCTGTCTAAGCAGCAGGCAAACTTCTGGGATCAATAGGGTTCACAGCAATACAGTGTCTGCCAGCAAACCTTGGAGGAGGCCATTAGTCAACTGGTGACCTGCCACCCTGACCACTGCAGCCCTCTGAAGCAGATTCTCAGAAAGGTTAGCCAGTGCTGGGAAACTTAAAAGGTCACAGATATCTTGGAGTCAAAACTCCAAAGAACCAGAGTGAAGAGCACTGCAGAGGAGCTACAAAGTCAGAGGTAAGGGCCACATCAGAGGTCAAAGCCACCACCTGCCAGCTGTGTGACCAAGAAAAACTAAGTGGAAGAGCTACAATGTGTCACATGCAATAGAGAAGGCCAACAACTGGGAATGGCCTCCTTTCAATAACATTGAAATAAATGACCTCTAAATGGATGACAGTAATGGCATGAGGTCAGATGTCCAGCTAAGATCCAGAAGCAAGTCCTTAGTCAATAAGTTTCAAAAAAACAAGAAAAAATAAGTCCAAAGTGAATTGTGAATTTTAATGTGATTAAGACACATGAAGCTTTGCAAGGTATCATACTGTTCACTTATTCTTCTACCAGAATTTCAGAGGAGCCGAGGTGGTCTAATTATTGGACAGCCACATCTTCGGTCCTCTTCTCCCTGTGCTATTTCAAAGAAAGGTAGGAAAGAAGGAACCTCTGAGGCAGCACTTATCTTCTGTGGTCTTGAGTAATCCCAAGTCAGCAATGAGGAGTGGGGTGTCAGACAACTCTCAATTAAAATCTAGATCTATAATTTACTAATATTTTCACATTTGGCAAGTAATTTGATGAGACAACCCAAAACTGCTCAACTGTTTCTCAAATTCACTGGTTTTAGATCATGTTTTTCATCTGGGGCCCTGTGGCTTCTTTGTCAGTGGCCTTCATAAATGTGAGGCTCAAAATGAAACATGTGACTTCAGATCTCACTGGACTAGGACTGGGACTCTTGTTGAACTTGGTCTGAGAACTGCAGCTGTATCATCGCAGCCCAAGGCAGGGGGCTGCAGCGTCCTGGTCAGATGTGCAGGATCTGAAGCAGTCCTGTCTCTGGCTCCATTACTTACTGTGTGACCTTGAGCAACTGATTTAACCTCTCCTTGCCTTAATTTCCTCATCAGTAAGATGAATATAGTAGTACCTGTCTAGACTGGTTAAAGGCATCAAACAAGTTACTATCTACAAAGTATCTAAACAAGACTGATTGATTTTAGATAGTGAGGAGTGCTATCAACAGAGAAACAGAATAGTGCTGGAGTAGAAGAGAGTGTTGGCTTGGGTGGTAAGGGAAAGCTCTTCTCTGATGACATTTAAGCTGAGATCTGAACAAAGAGAAAGAGATAGTCCATGTAAATATTTTTGAGAAGGGACATGCCGGACAGAGGGCAGAGTTAATGCAAAAGGCACATACACTGCAAATGTCTAAGGGACAGAAAGAAGGTCACTGTGGTTAGATGGTGACTATGTGGAGGCATGGTAAGCAATAAAAGTCAGAGAGAGTTCATGCAGGACTTTGTTGAACATGGCAAGGAGTTATTTTTTCCCCAACTGCAATGGGAAGCCACTGGAGGAATTTAAGGAGGAGAGTAACATGATCTGATTTACATTTTTAAAATATCACTCTGGCTGCTGTGTGGAGAATGGATTTTCAGAGGGAAAAACAGAAATAGGAAGACCATTTCAGAGGCTAGCACATGAATCCAGCAAGAAATAACCCTACTTTGAACTATGATACTAATAGTGAAGAGGGACAGGAATGTCTCATTTAGGGTCCACTTTGCAGCAAAGCAGAAAGGACTTGTTGATAATATACTTATCTTCATAATATACCAATCTTTATAATATACCAATTGAGGCTGAGAAAGATCAAATAACTCACCCAAAGTTACATGTGGCAGAAATTTCATGGCTTACAGATGACAGGATTGAAGTCAAGTCCATTTGACCTGCTGACCAATCTCTTAACTATTAACATAGGCAACTGTTAACATATTACTTATTTATTCTAGTCTACCTACATCAGTCACTTAAGGGCTTGATCAATGTGTTCTTATATCTAACATCTCTGACTTGGGCAAAGTCCAGTTCCTACATTTGCATGACTGAAGACTGGACAATGGATTGGATGAATTCACCAATGTAAATCATTCCCTCCTTGACATTCTTCTAGTGGTTAGTCTCATTCAAATGTCAGTATCCAGATTGGCCAAATGTCCTCAAGTTGTCAAAAATCTCAAAACAGAAGTGGCAGGGAGGAGAAGAACCACCACAAGACTGGGGATCAGAAGACCAAATTTCTGTTCTCAGTTCTGTCATTAAAATGCTGCAGGATGAAGGAAATTCACCTCACATCCCTGGGTCTCAATTTTTTAATCTATAAAATGAGTGCATTACGAAAAACCTCTATGATCTCTTTCAGCTCTGACAATTGCTGATTCTCCAGCAGTAGGAAGAAAAGTTGGGGGTGACCTCACTTTTGGGGGGCTTCCAATTATATTCCAGACACCATACTGAAAGGAGGAACAGTTCCATGAAACTTTATAAATAGTAAAACCTCTGAAAGCTATTACCTTGTAGCACTATGATGTGGTCAACACTACTCCTTTGCCCTTCTGGTTCTTCAGGGCTATTCCTGGAAGGGCCAGCAGCTGAAAATGGTACTTCTGGGAATCTAAGGAGTGGGAGTGCAGTGTTGGAACAGAATGATTGCGGGAGTGAATATTCCTGTCCTCCAGATGCCAAGGTGTACTTGCAAATGGTTAAGAACTAACATTTCTACAGGCTTCGTAAAACACACTGCCCTGTCACATCTGATATCACATTTCAGCTTCATAAGAAATCTTTATGGAAGGGAGTGTAGCTAAGGGGAAATGTATGTGATTTTAGAAAAGAAATGGGTTTCTCACACACATACACACACACACACACACACACACACACACACACACAGCTTCACAGGAGCCACAAACATTCTAAAATGGCTCCTACTGCCCTCGAGTTTTATTTACAGCATTAGCAGGAGTAGTAATTAGAACCATTTCTTGAAAGGAATGGAAAAAATCTTGCCATGTCAACTCTCTCATCAGTAGCTCCATCTTCAAGGAAAGACAGAAGTTCCACTAGAAATTAGCCCCCTATCCACTCTCTTATCTTGCCCACCAGCATCCCCTCCACCTCACTTCAGGTCCTCTGTGCTCCAGCCACACCTAACAGTTCACACACACCCTGCACTCTTCCATGCCTCCATGTTTGTGCCTGTACTGTTTCTTCTGCCTTGAAAGCCATTTTTTCCCCTCTTTTGTAGTAAACTACCACTCATATTTTCCAGATACATAAAATGTCACCTTATGAGAAAATTTCCTTGATACTACCACCAGTGCCAGTGACTTCCTGCTCTACTTCTCCATGGCATCTTTGGATGTCTGCAGACTTACTGAAAAACCTTGAGATTACTGATTCATTTACCCACCCCTACTCCTAGTAGACACGAGGTCCCCAAGGGGATAGACCATAATGAATTCACTTTTGTATCCCTAGTACTTAGCCCAGCACCTGGCACATAGGAGACACTCAGGGAGTGTGCCTAGATGGATTCATGACTGGATGGATGGCAAACTGGCATGGAGACCTCCAAGTCATTCCTTATCAGGCAGAAGTTTGATACTAAAGAGTAAAAATAAGTAACATAAGTAAATTAAGAGGATAGGTACTTTCCTTCAAGTACTATAAAGACCTGGTTCTATCACTTAGACAGAAGTGAGAGGATAAGATAAGCTCAAAACCTCAGGGTGACAAGCAAAGGCAAATCTAAGTCCAGAGCACCCACAGGGATAGCCTCTGTCCTAGCCCATTTTCACACAGCTATAAAGAAATACTAGAGACTGCATAATTTATGAAGAAAAGAGGTTTAATTGACTCACAGTTCCACATGGCTGGGAAGGCCTCAGGAAACTTACCCTCATGGTGAAAGGAGATGGGGAAGGAAGGCAGGAGACAGCAAGAACAAGCAGGGAAAATGCTAAACATTTATCAAACAACCAGATCTCCTGAGAACTCCTTCACTATCAGGAGAACAGCATTGGGGAAACAGGCCCCAGGATCCAGTCATCTCCTACCAGGTCCCTCCCTCAATATCTGTAGATTACCATTTGAGATGAGATTTGGGTGGAGAGGCAGAGCCAAACCACATAAGCCTCCCTCAGGACAGGGGAGGTAATGGTGTGATGGGCCCCATTTAACCTCGAAAAGGCTGGGATTACCTGTAGTTAAAGATTTCTCCAGACCTCTCAATATAAATTAGTAAAATTGGCACTTATATCACTTGATACAGAGATGAAGCAACACTTCAGCAAAGCTCTGAGGACAGAAATAACTGAATTACATGGCTCATTCACATCAAAATGAAAACCAACCCACACACTGTAGAGAATGAAGAGATGAATCCTTGTAAACATGTCCAGTTTTACAGGAAAAATCCCAACCACTGAGTATTAATTCCCCTAAAAGGATTTTACAACATCCACAACTATGGATGGCGTCACTGGAGTCGTAACACAAGTTGTTGGTGAAAACCCCGACGGTTTGCTTCCACAAGGGAATTTACTCTCCTCTTCCCTAAAATGAAGTAGTATTGGTGCTAATTCTTCCATTTCCTGCTTTTATAATCTCCCTTATTCCACCCATGAGAGAAGGAATCACTTAGCTGGATCCATGAGACTTAAAAAATTCTATAATAGTATCCATGAGGCCATGTTAAATGGGAAGTGGGGCCACAGTCCTGAAGTGGAGTCCCTGAAGGCTTGGCATGTGTCTTTGTGATGGTTTGAATGTCCCCTTTGAAAGTCATATTGATATGAAAAAAAAAAAAAAAAAAAAAAAACTCAACACCACTGATCATTAGAGAAATGCAAATCAAAACCACAATGAGATACCATCTCCTACTAGTCAGAATGGCTATTACAAAGTCAAAAAATAACAGATACTGGTGAGGTTGTGGAGAAAAAGGAAAGCTTATACACCGTAGATACACTGTTGGTGGGAGTGTAAAATAGTTCAGCCACTGTGGAAGACAGTGTGACAATTCCTCAAAGACCTAAAGACAGAAATACCATTTGACCCGGAAATCTCATTACTGGGTATATACCCAAAAGAATATAAATTATTCTATTATAAAGACACATGCACATGTATATTCACTGTAGCATTGTTCACAACAGCAAAGACATGGAATCAACCTAAATGCCCATCAATGATAGACTGGATGAAGAAAATGTGGTACAAATACAGCAGCCTATTATGGACTATTACACAGCCATAAAAAAGAAAAAGATCATGTCCTTTGCAGGGAAGCGGATGGGGCTGGAAGCCATTATCCTTAGCAAACGAACACAGAAACAGAAAATCAAATACTTCACGTTCTCACGTTTAAGTGGGAGCTAAAGAATGAGAACACATGGATACAGTGAGGGGAATAACACACACTAAGGCCTTTTGCAGGGTGGAGGGTTAAGGGTGGGAGGAAGAAGAGGATCAGAAAAAATAACTAACAGGTACTAGGCTTAATACATGGGTGATAAAATAATCTGTACAACAAACCCCCATGACACAAGTTTACCTATGTATCAAACTGCACTTGTACCCTTGAACATAAAAGTTAAAAAAAAGTACAAAAGCTCAGCATATTAAAACAAAAAAGTCATTTTAAAATTTCACTGCCACTGTGATAGTATTATGAAGTGAGACTTTTAAGGTGTAATTAAGCCATGAGGGCTCTGCCCTCATGAATGGATTCATGCCATTGCCTCAGGAGGCTTCTGATAGAATGAAGACCATCCCCCTGTTGCCCTCTTTCATTCTTGTGCATGCCTTCTCACACCCTTGCACCCTTTGCCATGGGATGATGCAGCAGGAAGACCTTTACCAGATGCCCAGAAGATACTGGCACCCTTGGACACTGCAGCCTCCAGAACCATGAGCTGAATTAACCTCCATTGATTATAAATTACCCAATCTCAAGTATTACATTATAGCTGCAGAAAAGAACTAACACTCTCTTCTTGAGCAACCTGCACTCAGCCCTATGGGCTCTCTGAGTTCATGAATCAAGCTGATCAAGTGGAGCTTGCTTCAGGCAAGTACAGGTGGCTTCTCTTCTTTTTGTCTCATCTTCTCGGCTTGCCAATGGGTGGATAAGTCAGTACTGTGCAGGTTCCGGGGCCTAGCCAAATTCCAATAAGAAGCAGGAAATCCCTGAACTTTGATTCAGTGTGACCAAAGCCAATACTGCACTCTTGCCCCAGGTGGTGATGTTCACTGGCACATTTATGTCCCCAGCATATACCTACCATTAGTCAAGATTCTTTTACTTATAATTTTAAGCCTACATGATAAAAATACCTAAAGTGTAGCTTCATTTAATGTTGGGTTTCTTTTACTCTATGGAAAAATGAAATTCCCAACCTTTCTAAGGTAAATTCTTGTTTTCCTTCTGTGAAGGAGTCTGTGGTATTTCCTATCATGGAAAAGCCTCAGGAAGATTTGCTATAGGAATGAAGTGGAATTGCACTATCATTCAACATAGGGTGTATCTTCCACAGGGGCCCCTTCTTATGTAGAGGTGTTCATGAAAGATGACTGTGAACACTGAATTAAAGAAATGCATTCATTGTCTGTCACTAATAATATCATTTAATATCAAATTCTTAATTCAAATACATATTTACTCATTCAACAAATATTTCATTAGTATCTACAATGTGCCAGGTGATTGTGTCTTTGGCATCCGACACCTAAAATACAGTCTCATAGGAATGGAGAAAACCTGTTTTAAAAAGCAGCCTCCCTCCCCTCAAGAAACTGTATCCTGCCCTTTATCTTTATTTCTGCCTCTCACTTAACACTTACTAACTTCTTGGACTTGGAGTTTACATTTGTTCTTTGCCTGGCTTCCCTGATCCCAAATAAGAAATGATCTATAAGCTAATACACTGAATCACTTTATATGACAAACCCTCTTAGTAATGCAAATAATCATTCTGTAATACAGCCATGTTGAACATATGAATTTTCATAAAGTGGCCTACCCCAATAATAAAACAAAGAGTTTTTTTCCCAGGAATTAAAAAGGCAACCAGGACATGCTGAAATGGCACCTGGATAATAAATTAGAACAGGTGGGATGTTGCTTATCTTCCTAAGGGTCCTTCCTCCCTGCTAATCTCTTCCTTCCTGTTTGCTTTTGATAGATGTTTAGGATTAGATAGGTAACTTGGGAATTACTCATGTGGAACTAGAGGTCAAAATTCATTGACACAGATCATCTAGTTGGATCGTTTTATTGAACAAAGATCATTTTATCTGTAGGGGTATATAATCCCCTCCCAAAAAACTGCATTTCATTTTTCTCAATCAATTCGGAATATTAAATCAACTCGCACAGTTTTACCTGTAAAGAAATTTCTATTCAATTGTAAAGAAATTTCTACTATATTCTTTTGATTCACAACACTATTTTTCCTTACTTTGTATAATGTTCCCAAACCAAACCATCCAAATACCTCCTTGAAAGAAGGCATTAGGTAGTAACATTTTAGCTTTAGAAACGTGCATGTAGTTACTTAAAACCTTGTAAATTTTTTCTCCTGTCCTTGAAATGCACCATATAAATATTGCATTTGATCCTTAACTTACACTTCATAAATAATTCATTTCAAAAATATTCCTCCATAAGACCATCAGTTGCTGAGGTGTTCAGTTTTCGGGGAAAGCATTTATTTACTGCATGAGCCCAGGAAGGCTGGTAAAGCCTTGGCTAAAAGCTCCACATGGAGCAAATTATGGTAATTGTATTAATGCTCAAATCCAGGATGCTCAATGCTCAAATCTGCTAAAAGGTTTTGCACTATATTGCCCACATCTTGACGAGCAATGAGGCCACTGCAAATGTTTAACACTTCATAGAGAGGCTTCCGAGATTCATTCTTCATAGTTCCAAGAACTGCTGAAGAATGTCTAGAGGTAGCTTCCAGAGGAGTTTCTGAAAGTCACAACTGAGAATAAACAGCCTCTTAAATATCTTCTACTTTGGGTTCAGACTGAAACTATAAGCTCAAGTCCCCAGAAGTGAAAATTAAAGGAAACATCACACAATTAATTTTGATGAATAGTTAAGTTTTAATTCATGTACAGCAATATTCTGCTTAATGATATGTCTCCTTAGGAAAGTCATTAAAAATCCATTAACTTAACAGGGAAAAATCTAATAAAGTTACTCTGGAAATTTTCTGCTAGATTAACATTATGGACTTCTAATG